CAGGACAAAACCAGGACTAAACCAGGACAAAACCAGGACAAAACCAGGACTAAACCAGGACTAAACCAGGACTAAACCAGGACTAAACCAGGACTAAACCAGGACTAAACCAAGACTAAACCAGGACTAAACCAGGACTAAACCAGGACTAAACCAGGACTGAGGACGGGGGTCAGTGCTTGTAAACATATGTCTTCACCCTGAGTTTCTTCTGTTACTGTAAAAGTGCCGCTACAGAAGTACCGGCGTCAGCATCAAAGCTCCGCCAACTTCTGTGTTTTTCCCAACGCAGGACGTCAGAAACGCACATGTTTGGAATGTTATGAATGTGATTGAAAACGCAGATGTTCGGTCATGTGTGGATGCAAATTATTGCATCCACACATGCATTAACGGAGGGGGGGAAATATTAGGTTTTTAAAACGCCATGTGTGGACATGGTCTGTGTTGTCTCAGTAGCTTGCATAGCATTTCCCAATAAAACAAAAAAATAACAATCTGGAAACAAAAATAATAATAAGATAATATTGTGAGAAAAAAACGAATGGAAAAAATAAATAAATCACTTTAAATCAAAGTATATACTTCTATAATAGGAAAATAAAGGCTTGATCTTGAATTGTTGGTGTTTCCAACTGGTTTTGGATGAGCAGATAATTGTCTTTATTATACAGTATGAACAAAGTGCTGAAGCTGCCGCAATTATAAAATTATGTCTTTGATAAACAGATTTATTTTTCAGACAAAAATTAACAATATCCAGGGTTTTAACTGTGTTTGTGTAAAGTCTGTTTATAGCCCATCTGCAGTATCTGAGGCAAGTGTATTTTTATTCTTTTTTGAATTATTAAGGTAAGTTATTGATAAAAGTTTGCGTTATTCCACCAGCAGTAGAAGTGGAGAGTGTGAGGCTAACAGCCGAGAAACATGCACGGTGCTGTAGTTTTCCGGGTCTGTGCTCGGGCTCTGAGTCTGCTCTGGTTTGTAGTTTGGAGTTTGGTCGTGTAATAAGGCTGTTGCCCCGTGCCCTGCCTGTCTCCTGAATCATCTGTTTCTGCTTCCTCCCGAGTCTCTGAGGAGGTTTAAGGTCCAAATTCTCTGTTCTTTGTGACGGCTCAGCGACTGGTTTTGTGAGTACAATCACTCGAGTCCAGCAGTTTGAAAGTGGCTTTGAAACAAAAGACCTGTGGAAGTTCACTTTGCAGAATGTGAAGAGTGCATTAGCTCCGCTCTGGAACCAAATGTCACCTCTCCGTGTCCAATTACAACAAAACACTTCATTTGAATGAAGCGTGACAGAGATTCTTTCCATGGTGACTTTGCATTTTGTTCATTTTCTTCAAATAACTTGATTGAGAGAGAGAGTTTGGCGTCATGTCGATATAAATCGTCGATTTGTCAAAGAATATGAGAAAACTAGAGTAGAAAGTGGTCTGGGTCCAGCAGGCGTCACAAGTGCAACAAGAATTCAGTATATTCATTTAAACTAACTCCCAGAGCAGTCAAATTGACGGCTTTGACGTGTAATTACTCAGATCCATTCCTTTGAATGTTCAGTTCAAATGTAGCCATTTTCAGTTGCTTGGCAACCAACATCCTAGGACTGGACCAGCATCTTTTCTCCCAGATGCTGGTCCTGGACCAAACCTGCACCAAACCTGGACTGGTTCTGGTTTTCCAGAAAATACTTATTTACCATAGCAACACACAGCTTATTTACCAGCAATCAGACTTTGGTGGCCTTTTATCAAACTGTTTTTGCAGTATTTCAAGTTAGCACTTCTTAAAAGTAAATATAAAAACCTTATAAACTACATACTCTTTGAGTGATTTCCAAATGCCTTTGATTTAAGCCATCACACTGACTGTAGGAGGCTCCGGGGGTCCCAGTGTTAGACCTGAGCCTTTTGGGGTCAGTTTGTGCAATGATACATAGGGTCTGGATAATGTGGACCAGAAGTCTGGACTGACTTCACAAACTATGCTTTCACAAAACTCAGCTTTATTAACAATAAAAACAGTATTGTTGGGCTTAATTTGTCTTTATCATATGTTTACACCATATTTGACAAACTATAATCTTGCAAACACCAAGTTTAAATGTACGACTTAAAACTAGATTTATTTCACTTCCATACGGCAGTTTTCCCTTTGAATATTCATTAATGCGACAGAAGCAGCTTGTCAGGAGCCGTGGGTTACCAGCGAGCACCAGCGAGCACCAGGGGGCATCTCTTATACACCGTAAAAACGATAACTAGTAATTGCTGAATTAATTAAAGTTTTCAAATTAAATTGACTCAGAAATAAAGCTCTCCATTTTCAACCTGAAAAAGCTTGTCTGCCCAACACATTTCCGTCATCGTTGTCCAAACTAAGATTTGCTAAAGAGCATAACTAAGATTATCAACTTTTAAGTAGATTTTTTGAGTGAGGCTGAGAACCCGTGGGAAACCCCATATTTGACTAACGCGCGCATGCTCACGTGGACCGTCTGAACAAGTTTAAACAAGACCAAACGGACCTTCAACTGAACCTGAGCTGTGTGATGGTGGTGCGTCGACGTTTTCTGTACCGAAAACCTAAGAAAACTTGACCAACAGATTTTCACCTGGTCTGCAGTTTAGTGTTTGGACATTTTTTGAACAGAAGCGGGAGCTGCGGACCATTTTGCAGGTAAGCTAACTTTTCTACAAGCGCCGTTTCCAGCCCTTCACCCACTTCAATGCTAAAATTTAGCACAGAGCATCGGACCAGCGTGTTCTATCCCCGCAAAAAGTAATGTTTGATAGTGTTTAACATCAAACACTCTGAAATTTTGACAGACTTTCATCACAAAATTACGCAATTTCAGATTTTTCTTTTTCTTTTTTAACTGCACGTCTGCCTGGTAAACCGTAGCTTATATAGTTTTTGTAATACTTTGTTATCCTTGCGTGGAGACACGATGTTTGCATGCATTGACCAGTGACGTGCGGTGAGGATTGTGATAGGGGAGGCACTGACTTTAAAAGTCAGATTTACCATCATTTTAAAAATAAAACAAGCATTTAATCACCAATGCAATAACATCCACAAACTTCCTATACTGTAAAGATTAGAGAACTAGCTTATTTTAAAAATATCACAACAAATCTAGCTGCTGACTCTCTGCTCCGCATCAAACATCTTTAAGCGCAGGTGCGAGAGACACGAGGAGAGAAAGAGACAGAGACGCGAAGAGAGAGACAGAGACGGGAGGAGAGAGACAGAGACGGGAGGAGAGAGACAGAGACGGGAGGAGAGAGACAGAGACGGGAGGAGAGAGACAGAGACGGGAGGAGAGAGACAGAGACGGGAGGAGAGAGACAGAGACGGGAGGAGAGAGACAGAGACGGGAGGAGAGAGACAGAGACGGGAGGAGAGAGACAGAGACGGGAGGAGAGAGACAGAGACGGGAGGAGAGAGACAGAGACGGGAGGAGAGAGACAGAGACGGGAGGAGAGAGACAGAGACGGGAGGAGAGAGACAGAGACGGGAGGAGAGAGACAGAGACGGGAGGAGAGAGAGAGACAGAGACGCGGAGAGAGAGAGAGACGGGAGGAGAGAGAGAGAGACGGGAGGAGAGAGAGAGAGACAGAGACGCGGAGAGAGACAGAGACGGGAGGAGAGAGAGACAGAGACAGAGACGGGAGGAGAGAGAGAGACAGAGACGCGGAGAGAGAGACAGAGACGGGAGGAGAGAGACAGAGACGGGAGGAGAGAGACAGAGACGGGAGGAGAGAGACAGAGACGGGAGGAGAGAGACAGAGACGGGAGGAGAGAGACAGAGACGGGAGGAGAGAGACAGAGACGGGAGGAGAGAGAGAGACAGAGACGCGGAGAGAGAGACAGACGGGAGGAGAGAGAGAGAGAGACAGAGACGCGGAGAGAGAGACAGACGGGAGGAGAGAGAGAGAGACAGAGACGCGGAGAGAGAGACAGACGGGAGGAGAGAGAGAGAGACAGAGACGGGAGGAGAGAGAGAGACAGAGACGCGGAGAGAGAGACAGAGACGGGAGGAGAGAGAGAGAGACAGAGACGGGAGGAGAGAGAGAGAGAGAGACAAGAGACGCGGAGAGAGAGAGAGACAGAGACGCGGAGAGAGACAGAGACGGGAGGAGAGAGAAAGAGTTGCAGAACTGTTGAGCAGTGGTTGAATCAGTGTTTTTCGGAGAAGCACTATTATGCAGTTATCTAGTCAATTTTTACCATTAAACAGAGACTGAAGACTTAAACTAAATAAAGATAATGCACACATACGTGCAATACATTACTAAACACCATGAGAAGTTAGACAAATGTTATCAAAAATCTTATCATGAAGTTATTTTTTTCCCCACTAGATCTCAATTTAAGATAAGCTTATTATTGAAATTAAGGAATTCTTAACTTAATAGTCTGATATGTAATAGTTCAAAGTAATTTTTTAACTTTTAGGTGTGTGTGTGTGTGTGTGTGTGTAGCCTTTCAAAACTAAGGTAGAATGGGTGAAATTCAACCAACCTTAATTGGGGGACCTATAGCTGTATTGTTACTTAAATGTTTACAATTTCAAGGACTGTTGCAAAAGTGCTTTTAGCTAAACTGATTGTGTCCTATCTGTCGCTTGTGTTTCAGGGGTGGATTTCAGGGGTGGTCACAGAATCTGATTGCTCACAGATTGCGGTACAACATGGAACATGATAAAAAAGTATTTCTATTCATGTGCAAAATATGGATTCATGAGAGCTTTTTGAAGTAAGTTTTGCTGTTCATAACATGGTCATTGGACATGGTGTAGACTGCACAAGACGGCTATCCAGGGACTTTCTGTGCTGAATAAATGACAATATTTTGTTGATTGTCTTGTTTAGATATCAAAAGAATTTCATCGGATTACGAGCAAAGACCTCCTGGGGACTTTCAATGCCTCCCTTGACAAATTTGTGCCTGGCCTGTTAAGACTGTACCGGTCTAAGAAGGGAGCTCTTGGACAGAAGATGGAAGACCTGCTGGAAAACCTTGATGAACAGGTGAGAGAAGAGCTCCTTTTCCTGACATTATTTTGGCTTCAGTCAAAACACATTTGTGGAAATATGTCAGTGGAAATTAATGTCAGCAGTCATTGCTTTATGTTCTTATTTGGCAATATTTGATTTAACACATTTTATTTTGTAAAAGTAAAGTAAAATTGTTAACATAGTTGCAATGTTGCTGGGTCTGACCTGTGCTTTATTTTGATTAATATTAATGTTCTGATTTTGCATTGTGTATAAGTACACTGTTACTATACTAATTGAAATGCTTGTTTTCCACTGAGTACTCTTTAGACATCCAACATTGTGTGCCACCGAAAGACAGCAGCACTGAGAGGCCTGCCCATTTTCGTCAGAGAAGATGCAACAGAGGTTTTCCTGAAATGCTTGGTAAGTACAAAAAAGTAATGCAAGTAAAACTAAATCCTGAGATGTTTCAAAGGATGAGTTCCAAAAGATCCAAAATGGAAATGTACACCTCAGTGCTGTCCAGATAATTTTATGGAGAGGATTGCAGTTGTCTAACTCTCGCTCCCCTTTTTCTGCTGAGAAGCAGCTGGGCATTGTTCATGTGTGTTCCATTGTAGAAAATACTTTTGTACAAAACTCATCACAAGGTTGGTGGGAGAAAGCTACTACGTCGTTAATTAAAGAAAAATAAGCTTTTTCTTTTTAAAACCTCTGAGTCAAATGACCAGCATGATACGGAGGTTTAATTTCAAATCTGTAGAAATGTATTTTGTCTTTAGTTCTCAATAATTAATATTATACCTTTCTTCAGGACACTGACATTTTGGAACCAGTGTTGAACGGTGTATCTGTTGCCATCCTCACCATCCTACAAGATGACGATCCCGGTACGACTGTGCGAGACCATGCAGTTGTGTTGGAAGGGGATATTGTGCTACATAACATTCCAGACCTCTCTTCTGCCTTGGCATACCTCTTTGGCCTTCTGTATGCCCTCAACATTGATTATCCAAAGCAGATGAGTTATACCTTTGAAGCAATTCAAGCCATCTTTTTTGAGCTCGGTGGCTCTCGATGCTCACAGCGCATAAGGGCTCTGAAAACAAAGCTTTTGCTGTGACTGTTAATGGAGAAGCCAGACATGACTTTATCATGTGTTCTTTAGCCTGTTCAAGTCCATTGCTGTTGAGTCATGTAAAAAAACTGTAGTTAAACCCTTTTTTCTTCTGATGGTCATTCACCTGTTACCAAGAGTTGCTCATTTAGTGTTTAAACTGTTGAATTATTGTTCAAGTAAAACTAATGTATGTATGCAAAAAAGAACAAAAACAACCTCACCTCTGTTTCAACCTGCATAAGGATGTGTAGGAGATGGAAAATTCTATTTTCAGATTAGCTGTTTCTTAACCCTCTTGTTGTCTTTCGGTCAAGAGATGAAGAATAAGGAAGGAAAGGAGGAGAGGCAAGAAGGGAGAAAAATGGAAGGAAAGGAGGGAGAGATGAAGTGAAGAGGAAAGATGGAAGGAGAGAGAGGGGGAGAGAGAGAGAGAAATAAAAGGAAAGGAGGGAGAGAAGGGAAGAGGAAAGGAGAGGGAGAAAATGGATGTAAGGAGGGAAGAGGAAAGAAGGAAGAAGAGGGAAAAATGGAAGTAAGGAAGGAAAGGAGGGTGAGAAGAAGAGGGAGGGAAGGGAAGAAGGAAGAAGAGAGGGGGAACTGGAAGGAAGGGAGAAAAGAAGGAAGTTGAGAGGGAGAAAAATGGAAGGAAAGGAAGGAGACGAATTGTTGACAATATATGTTGAGATTGTGTCATGTATTTTAAAAGATTTGTTTAAATGTTGTCCACTTCACATGAAACACAGAACATGGTGTTTTACCGGTTAGTTTCCTGTTCATTGATGGTAATCTTTCTAAGAACTTTTTAACTGCTGTAGTTCATTATAGTTATGCCCATGTAAAACGTCAGTGTCTGGGTACACAGCCAATAATCTTTGGCACTATCCTATTGGTGTTGTGCATGAGTGACTATATGTTGCTGAACACAATTTTAACGTATTTGCTGTGGTGCTCAAAGCACCCAAAAAAAGAAACCGGCAATACTGTTTTTATTTACTTTTTTTTTTTGTTACAAAAATTGACCTGACTACCCATAACATTGTGAAATGTACTTGAGGCACTGTTAAACAAATTAAATAAGATTTAAGATCACATTCAGTTGTGCTTTGTTTTATTCAATATTTATTTGAGGATTTTACAAATATAAATACAATGTACATTTTCCTTTTTTAAATAGGTATATTTTCAACTCACTGGAGTAAGAATTGTATGGATTTTCAACAAGAATATCTGTGTTTGTTGACGTTATAAATGCATGGCATTCAATGAATAATTATATGTTTATTTAACAAGAATATCTGCATTTAGTGTAGACAGAAATACATGGCATTGAAACCAGAATTTCTTTGTTGGACTTACAGGATTATCCTACTTAGGTGAACAGGAAGATCCAAGTTGGCAGAACTCTTGTCAGAACTTGTAAATCTTAGTTAGGTCAACAACAGTAGGCAAAAGTTGAGATTACTCAAAAATCTCTTGCATCATGTTGCCTTGATATTTTACGTTTTCTCAACGTTTTCTTTTTTACAGTGTACTGAGTCAGGATTTATGGTCAAAAGCTCAAGTATTTTGCTCAGACTTTTTGAATTGCTTTTCCAAAATCAAAAGTTTTCGAAGTGTTGAACAGAGAAAAACATTCTGCTTCTTAGTGAACAATAACATCTCTCCGTCACTGAACTGAAGGCACTCTCTCCGCTCTGACTGAACATTTGTTTGTATTGTCTACACTCTAAAACTAGTTTGATTCGTCCATTATCATAGTTTAGCCCTGAATGATTAAAATGCTCTATATTCCATAAGCAGATGCCCGGTGGCGCGGTGCTGACAGCTCGCCATCAATCTCCGCTGTCAAACTGTCTCACAATAAAACATCTCAGACCAACTAATTCCATTTGAGTCACAGAGATCTCCTCGGCTGGGTTCTGGGGATGCCAACGGAATCTGTTGTTTTCCAACCGCAAAGAAAAGTCTGGTTTTGAGTTTAAACTTAATTAAAAGTATACAGTGGAGCTTTAAACAGGTTTGATCCGTGACACAGAGGTATCAGATTACATTTCTGTGTCTATGGTTGGAACACACTGTAATGTCAATGTCACACAAATTCTATTTTTTTATTTTGCAACGTGTTAACCTCTATATCTTCTTTAGTTGTACTTCCTGTTGTCCTGCCCCGCCCTCATGTGTATCAGGTGCGCAGGTTACAATCGTGCAAAAAAAGGCAGAATTGGGACAGTGCAGGTTACGTCATCGACTAGTCAAGAGATGATCATGTTCAGACCTAAACTTTCCCAAATTAAAGATCATTATGTCTGACCCTGTGGGAAGCTAAATGAGTTGCTCCATACACGTTAAAATAAATGCATATTGGTTATTCATAATTTGAGATAGCTGCATAATTTTAAGTTAAATGTGGGTAACTAACTGTTATCTGGTCAGTTTTTATACATCCTTTATTGAACTAAGAGTAAAGTTTAAACTGAATGTTATACGAATGCTTGCTTTAAAAAAAGTTATGAAATTGTTAGCATAGAATGTCCATAATTCTTCATCAGTCATTAATGCGTCTTTCGAAGTAAGTTAGAAAACTTATTTACACACATAAAGCATGTATATATTTCAAAGCGTACACTTAAATGCATTTTTCCGACGTTTTGGTGTGTACCACAAAGAATTAAGGGCACAATCCTGCGCCAGAGTCCACTTAGATGCAGGCTAAGGCGAAGTGCGGATCGGGGGCACAAAGGGGGCGGGGCCAAAGACCTCCCTGGAGAATTGGGACGCCCTACATCACTCATCATAGGGAACGCGCAAATGTTTTAGTCATTTTGAAAGAGCGACTAAACACCAAATCAACTTTTTTTAACTCATAAACTGCATAAGTATGTTTATTGTAGTGCTGTCTACATATCCTGGTCATTCTTTTGACATTTTAGTTCAAATTAGATAAAATATCACTTTTGAGCCAAAAAACGCTGTGTGGTGCCCTCTCAACCTTTTTGGTGGTACTACATTTGAATTTGGTCCTGGCCTCTCCATTGACTCTGAAGTTCTCTATGACATCAGTTGTTTTGTGTGACGTCAGTCTGTCAGAGCCAGTGATATAAACCCATTCAACTCTCACACACGCCCCAGCTGCAGTTTGGAGTATTCTGGCGCCATCTAGTGGATTAAAATTAAATTACATGAGTGATTCTGAGATTATTGAGTGTAATTAGGTTCAGGTGTGTAGCTTTACAATTATCTTAGTGTGTAAACAAGGGTGGAATGAGACTTTCTGGTCTCTAAACTATTGCTTTAAGCAGCAATGACAACTGTCTGTTTTTTTTGTGTGTGACAAGTGAGCTGTCAATCACAGCCCAGACCACGCCCAACTCTAAGCCCCCCTTCTTGTCCCTTGGTCCTCCAGGCAACGTTGGAGGATGTCATAGAGAACTTCAGAGTCAATGAAGAGGCCAGGACCAAATTCAAATGTAGTACCACCAAAAATGTTGAGAGGGCGCCACACAGACGTTTTTTGGCTCAAAACAAAGTGATATTTTATCTAATTTGAACTAAAATGTCAAAAAAATGACCAGGATATGTAGAGAGCACTACAATAAACATATGTATCGCGTTTATGAGTTGAAAAAAGTTGATTTGGTGTTTAGTAGCTCTTTAAAGACGTTGTAGCCCTGAATCAATGACAACAGTGGTCTCGCAGGACTTCCCAAAGTTGTCGATTCTCAGATCAGTGAATCAAAAAGCTCAAACACAGGAAACACGTAGAAGCCATTGGTTCATAAGGAGCGGTTGTCCTTAAAGACCTTATGACGGGTTTAAAAAAAAAAAAATAGTGGATATCAAAATTGCATGATAATGTCAATTTGAAAGAGATTCCGGCAAATAAAAATCCTACATTTTATAAAAAGAATGTGTTTTTCATGAATTTAACCTGTCTATGCTCTAGCCTGTGTGTGACGTCACAGCGGGTAATGCCCATGCATTGAAAACCATGGATCTATGCCACAGGACTGCCTTTGCTCTCTTCTCTCCACTGATGCCCAACACAATACTGCACTCTACAGGTGACAATTGCTCACTACACATAAATTGCCGTTTTAAGAGTGAAAATGTGTCTGAGATGGGATTTGAACCTGAGTATCTGGATTGGAAGTCCATCGACACAACCACTGGACTATCTCAGTACCAACAAAATGTTACAATCTAGTAGTTATCTAACACTCGCTGTACACGGCCTTGTCATCTTGAATATCCGCGAAAAAAGAACGAATACCAAATTGTAAACAACTTACAGCGTTGAAACGTACCCGTTCTGACGTCACCAAGGGCTGTGAAGTTTTTTCGTCTCTAAGGGCGTTGCTATGGGGTTATTTCGATTTGGGGGGATCAGACAAAAAAAACAACAACTGATTGTGAAACCTTTAGTAGTTTTCTTCTAATATAAAATGGTATTAAAACTGTATTTCTAAATAAATCAAACCCGTCATAAGGTCTTTAAAGGTTGGAAAAGAACGATTTGAAAACCCGGTAAAAGTGAGAAACCTCGGTGAGAACCAGACGGGCTGTGGATCCAGGACTCAGGCCGTAGACCATGGGTATCAAAGTCAAGAACTTGGCCTCGGGATGATGTTTTATTAGTGTTAGAACTGTCCGCTCGAAGACACGAGAAAATATTGGCTTTTGAATCTTCTCTTTTATCTAATTATTTTGACTTTGTATTACTATATTTCTATGACTGCTGTATTGTTCATTATGCTGACTGTGTAGCGTCTCTGTATTTGTCTCATAGTGGGGAAATTCCAGTGTTGCAAGTTATAGAACAGTAGGAAAAGGGGGAAGCACACAGCACAAGATAAATTAACAATAGCTCTATACTAATTAAAATAAAACCAAAACTCTAGCATCAGTAACAATTATAAAAACTCCATCTTGAACATAATATTGACAATAAAAGAAGTATAAAAGTTTCACATTTGGCAAAATAAGAGGCAAGTATAAAGTACTGTGTATTCTAGAGCAAGCGATGTGCACTTAAATGTTAGCATCTGTACATGTTAGCAGCAGTATGTTAGCATCTGTACAGGTTAGCAGCAGTATGTTAGCATCTGTAAATGTTAGCAGGAGTATGTTAGCATCTGTACATGTTAGCAGCAGTATGTTAGCATCTGTACAAGTTAGCAGCAGTATGTTAGCATCTGTACATGTTAGCAGCAGTATGTTAGCATCTGTACAGGTTAGCAGCAGTATGTTAGCATCTGTACATGTTAGCAGCAGTATGTTAGCATCTGTACATGTTAGCAGCAGTATGTTAGCATCTGTACATGTTAGCAGCATTATGTGTTATTGGATTATTAATTTAATGTACGTTGCGTTTTTTCTTTGAAGCAAGTTTGTTTTTACTCTTTTAAAACATATTTTCACTTACAAAAGCCATACAAAAATTATGGATTATTCATTAAATCATTAAAACAAACACAGTTCACAGTGTTAGGTCTTGGTTCAACAGGTTTTATGCATCATTTTAATAAGTTTTAATAAACATTGAACCAGTCCGGCCCTCGGTTTGTAGCAAATCTGTTTCTTTTAGGCCTCTAATGTATTTGATTTTGACTTCCCTGTCAAAGGACAAGGGCAAAGGCTACAAAACAAAAAATGACTGGCCATCTATAAATCCCTCAAAAACAAAGAATACAAATATCAATCAATCATTAAAATAGAACTATATGAAGCTTTTTCCACCGTCATACCGCGTTGAAATACCGTCTGTAATGCTCATCGTTTACCCAAAAACAGAAATGCTTTTGCACAGCCAGACTCATTTTCACATATCGCCAAGTTGGATGACATTGTTATTGGAATCCACAAAAATTGAAACTGTGGGCGAGGTAATAAAGCCATATTGCAGCTTCTTTATGAACACTGCTGTGCGTCCCTTGAGCAAAGCACCGATCCCATAATGACGCTGCCCGTGAAGCCTAAATGACACCTTCCAAGCATTCTCAGTAAACAAACATTATACCCGCACAGAGTCGTTTGGAAAGTTTTGAAAATAAAGCCTAAGTTGTTCTCAGCAGGAAAACGATCAGGGCTCACCATAAACATCAGGCAGGGCTGTGTTTTGTTTTTGAACTGTACGTAGATACAGAAAAAGGCACAAAGTTGTAATGACTGCAAAGATACCATAGACTGTAAATATTCGAACTAATGTGCTACAAATTCTGCGGTCTATGGGCAGTTTCAAAATGGCCGCGGGGGCTGGAAAATGTGAAAATACGCACGAGCCCCGTTCATTTAAACGAGTGACTTCAAAAATTCACAGCAACTAAACTAGAGTGGTCCAAAAAAATCACTCCCCTCAGCAGTGACCCGCTTGTGGAACGGAGCTTTGGGCCAAGAGCCAACTTTTGGTCCATCCTGTAAAGACGTTTTTCACATTATCCAGCCCCCACGGCCATTTTGAAACACTCCAAGAAAGCCCAATTTTTGGCTCATTAGTTAAAACGGCGGAGATAGACATGAATACGTCCGTTAATATATACAGTCATGGTCCTAAATCAAGCGTGCATAATTTCAACAGAGACTGATAGTATAAAAAAAATTACCCAAAGGCTCGCAAAAAACTGGACATGATCTTGTGTAAACCCCTCAGTTGAGAACTATGACCTATGCAATATCTGGGATAAAATAAAAAAACATTAAAAAACACATTCAGCCGGCTTGTTGGAATGGCAGTGATTTTCAGCAGGACATATTTTTTTCGTCTCTATATGACAATCTCCCCCACGGAATGTCACCTCTCGCCGGAAATGCGGGGAGCTGAGAGTGGCAGCTGCCGGGCATCTGAATAATGCATGAGGAGCTGTTGGCACTGACGCTCTCTCCTGTCTGTCTTCTGTCTGTGCTATTGTTACAGTGGGATTCCCGGGAAGAAGTGTGGAGTGATTATACTAACAGCGGAGGAGCTCAGTAACTGCCGGGTCAGTGCACGTACACACACACACTCACACACACATGCATTTGGGTGGATTATACATACTTTGTGATGAAGTTTTCGAGGACTTTCTGAACCATCTTACCTGATTAAATAAAGTTCCACAGTTCGGTAGGTTCGGTAAGTTATGGAAATTTTTGGCCCACTGGAACCAATCTTCTGACATCGCATCAAGATAAGACACGCGTCCTTTTCCCCAGTTGAGAGGGCATTTTAATTGAAGTTTCTTATCGCAGCAAATAAAATCTCTCGCAGCTTCATCAAGGGAGCCTGGTCTTACCATAGTACTGGTTTCATTTTCATTCGAGGTCTGGATTTGCTCCATTGACTCCGTTAACAGGTGGGAGGGGCTAACTCCTTTTGCAGATTGAAACGATTGGATCTGAGTTTACCTTGTATGTAATTGAGCGAGGCATTTAGCATTTAGTCTAGATTTAGCATTTAGCCTAGCTTTAGCCATCTCTTTTGCCACTAACGGAGGCCGTGGGGAGTAGCGCTAAACATTCCTCTTACCACGACTTCGAATTCTTGATTTTTGGATTGAACAGAACAGATTACTTTACTATCGCATTCTCCGCCAAACTACAACCAGCCAATTTGGGGCAAACTCTTGACGTCACTGACACGACCTACAACACCCGCCTCCCCCGCTCTCTGATTGGTTGGAGGGGATTCAACCGAGGAAACTGCAGCCACTAGGATCAGACCCAGACGTACATGTAGGAAATGATCATGGACCAGAGTTTACAGATGGATAAGACCAGGCTATCGTCAAAGTGCTGGTGCTGTGTGTGTTTTTTTTTTAATGCTTTGCAGGATCCTCTACTTCAGTGTTTTTCAACCTTTTTTGAGCCAAGGCACACTTTTTTCACTGAACAAATCTTGCGGCACACCTCCAGGAGAAAATGTAAAAATGTATACAGTACTAATGTAAAAAAATATATACTGTACATACTCTGTGTGATATATAAAGTATATCTTATCTTATAATGTATACAGTATACTCTGTAGCCTATATTCACAATATACAGTTATTCTCATCAAAATGCTTAAGTCCAGGCCTTGACATTAAGCTTTATTTAATATTTCTCGATACAATTAACAAGAGTTTGGGAATAAAGTGGCACTAACTGTGTGGAAAAAAAACTAAGAAAATCCACTCTCTGCCCAAATAGTCAAATAATAACTCACACAAAGAACATGCATTGTTAGTGCATGGGAAAAATTTAGGTATCCGAGCTTTAAATTCAGGAGTTTTGGATGAGGGACAAGGGAGGTCCTGAACGCGAGTCCATGGTTCTGTCCGGTCCGCATGTCTATGGTTCTGTCCACTGGACTATGGTCTGCGCTCGGTACCCAGTTCAGAAGTGCGTTCGCGAGAGCTGTTGTACAAAAAATGTACATTTCATAGTTAAACCACTACAACGCGGCTACAGCTGCCCCGGGGCAAAGCGGAGGATGTTAATCCTGTTCAGAAACGGCATAATTCATTTTCAAAAACGTCTCTATCACTTTCACTTCTCACTCGCCACAAAGCTCTTGTCTCGCTCCCTCCCACATTTGTTGGTCGCATCCAATTTTACCTTTCTCGCCACAATGCTGACCTGATACAGTCCAATTTTTCAGTTTCAAAGTACTTAGCTATCTGCTGCCATCTACTGATTTGAAAAAGTATTACATGGTTACTCCACAGTTCAAAACAAGTCACCGCTCGTCAACAGCGAATGCAGTTATTTTTAGACAAAGTAGACGAATTTCTCACGGCACACCAGACAATATCATACGGCACACTAGTGTGCCGCGGCACAGTGGTTGAAAAACACTGCTCTACTTAACTGTAGTTTTGTCTATTTGCATTTAGACGATAATGCCATTCTGGAAATTAGCATATAGTTACAAGGTAATTTGGAGGCAAGTGACATCTGTGGGGAGACATTCTTTAGATGCATAAAACCCATTCGGAAACAGCAAAATTCAAAGGTAGGCAGTATCGAAATCCTGCTTCTTAGAACCAAAAATTCCAAGCTAAGAGCAATTCTCAAACAGATAAGATTTTTCCATACATGTATTATTGTGGATATTGTGAACAAACACTTGCAATTTTGAAAGCAAATACATAAGACCAATTGATGCACACAAAGCCATACCATTGAACATTTAGGGCAAAGCAAAATAATCTGATAACAAAGCTGCATTATAGAATTATGACATTCATTTGTATTTGATGATTACTTTTTACTAGGCAAAGTGGACCTGGACTCATATCAACTGCGACCTTTTAAACTGTTGTCTTAAGCATTTTTCCAACTCCTTCTCGTGTCGTTGGTCCAAGGCTAATTCTCATTGCCGGCTACAGCATCAGAGCCAAAATTATGGATTTAATGAATAAGTGCTTGGTGTAAGACTAAACTCATCAGCAACTCTGGGAGCTCTCCTCTCTCAGTTTAGGTTCCCTCCTTCACTTATAGAAGCGTCTGACAAGTCGCTGATGACTTTAGTTTCCCCTAGAGCAGTTTCACTTGGGCTAAGAGTAAAACACCTTATTAGTGCAGCGTGTGTGTGTGTGTGTGTCTGTGTGAGTGTGTGTGTCCACCCCATGTCTGTCTCTCCTCAGCACCATCCCAGCCCAGGCCCTCATTAACAGCAGTACTCAGAGCCACGTACTGTACATATGGATTTGGGAACCCCACGTCTCCACAAGCGTCACATAAAAACCCACCTCATGAAGACTAATTCCAACTTAAAAGTCAAAGTTCTCTCATCTCTTATCGACATCCGCTCAAATCATCTAATTGACCTAAGTTGACGTGATGCATCTGAGCGTATGGTTTCAAAGTAAACTAAATGCCATCCACGTCAAATGTGTTGGTTCAATGAAATAACATCTGATTTTCTAAATGTAAGCGCTTTGAGTGGTGAATGTTTTTACTATTAGCTGCCTTCCTCTCCTAAACATATTCACAGCATTTTCTTCACCGTGTTTCATTTGGAAAGAGACATATACACTCATTTAATAATTCATTTGTGAGTTCAATCAAAACCAAAACGTCGTGACTCAAGGTGTCTACGTCTAATTCGAACCCTCTTAATTTGTTTCAATTGAAATAACTTGGTGGTAAAGAGGGAGCTGAGCCGAAAGGCAAAGCTCTCGATTTACCGGTCAATCTTCGTTCCCTCCCTCACCTACGGTCATGAGCTGTGGGTAATGACCGAAAGAACTAGATCGTGGATACAAGAGCTTCCTCCGCAGAGTGGCTGGGCGCTCCCTTAGAGATAGGGTGAGGAGCTCAGTCACACGGGAGGCTGACTCCACGTGGAGAGGAACCAGTTGAGGTGGCTCGGGCATCTGTTCCGGATGCCTCCTGGACGCCTCCCTGGGGAGGTGTTCCGGCCACGTCCCACCGGGAGGAGGCCCCGGGGAAGACCCAGGACACGCTGGAGGGACTATGTCTCTCAGCTGGCCTGGGAACGCCTTGGGGTCCCCCCGGACGAGCTGGAGGAGGTGTGTGTGGATAGGGAAGTCTGGGCGTCTCTGCTTAGACTGCTGCCCCCGCGACCCGGCAACGGATGAAGCGGAAGAAAATGGAAGGATGGATGGATGGATGAAATAACTTTAAAATTATTTAATCCACGTCCAAATGTGCAAAAGGCAATTACTAGAGACTGTGCTGGGTGTCATGCTGAAGGGTTTTTTGTTATTTTTTAGTTTTACTTCCTGTCCTGTTCCCCCGATGTCTCTGTCTTTATGTACCTGTGCTCCTCTCCCCTTGGACTGGTTCTTTGTTATGTCCATGTCTGTCCTGCTCTGTCCTGGTCCTTAGATTATGAATGTGTTTTTTCCCTGGACTATTATTTATTATAATCATTAATGCAGCAGTATGTAAGATTGTCATGTCAAGTCATCATTAAAGGGCCCAAATCTGTGCAAAGGCATTAATAAAACCTGCTCTTTTCCAATACTTCTTTAACTGAAAATAGTAGTTCAGAGATATTTGGATTTCAAAATTAGTTTTCCAGCCTCTAAATCTTGTTATCGTTTTCATTTTGATGTCCCGCCCTCCACCGTTTTACCAATCAGAAAGTCTGTGATCCGGGCGCCAGAACTCACCGCGTGGAGCTAATCTCACTGGTAAAGTACCATGTGGCACAGAACTAAAAAAGGTCTCGTTATGATTCTCAAATCATTAACGACAAAACGAGGAATAAAACCAGGATTTCCATCTTTGTGAAAAAGGTGTTGGTTATAGATTTGTTGTTGACTAAACTCTTGTCTATTCAGCTGTTATGGTCCCAGCTGGATTCGTCTGCATATCTGGCAACCTGAGTCAGGGAGAGTGGGAGAGGCTGCAGTACCACTTTTGGCCACATTTTTACAGACTACTCCTTTAAATCTTTATTTTTGACATTCCTACATTTTTGGGTCCTCCTTTCCTCCATGTGACCCTGGGTTCATTTTGAGGTTGTATCTCGCAGGATATTGAACTGATTCCAGAAAACTGTGTTGTTGTGGTGCAGGACATTGCCACCATGCAGCTGTGTGCCAACAAACTGGACAAGAAGGACTTCTTTGGCAAGTCTGATCCCTTCTTAGTCTTCTACCGGAGCAACGAGGATGGAACGTGAGTTATTTTCTAAATATATGATGATTTGCTTCCTCTAGAGATTGCAGTCCAGTCTCCTTGTCACTCAGTGTAGTGCTGCTATGGCAGATGAATTGGCATAAAGAGCATCTATAGCATGTCAGGGAGGGTGAATTCAAGTGAGGATAAACAAAATGCAATAAATCAATCTATGAAATGTGGAATGCATAAGTCACAATGTCTTTCAGCAGAGAATACAGACCGTGTTAAACAAAAAGTGGAATCCATGCTCGGTATTTACATTAATAATGATTTGGTTATGGCTCTTTTGGACACTCACAAAAAAATATTCATTCAATCTCCACACAGCGCGGATTAAATACTAATGTGCCCTGGGTAGGCTGACCTGGGTAGGCTGCCCTGGGTAGGCTGCCCTAGTAGCTGTCTGCCTTCTAGGGCAGTACCAACTCAATGAAGCGTGTTTTTGTACAGCCCTAAGTCAGTTATCTGGGAGAACATCACAAGCCGTCAACTCGCCAACACAGATCAGAGAATCAAACGGTTAAAACACAGGAAACGCGATGATAGAAAAAACACATAGAGCCTTTGGTCCATAAGAGGCAGACGACCAACGTCCATAAATGTGGTTGAATGTTGGGTGTCCTGGATCCTCACCGCTGCCCTAACCCCCTCCTGCATCAGCAAAGAGAAACTAGAACCTCCAAAAACACCATTTAGCTTCAAGCCAAGGGCTGGACTGGTTCAATGTTTATTAAAACATATCAAAATGATGCATTTAATCAATTTAAACAAGACCTAACACAGTGGACCCTATTTTAATTTGATTTTATTTAATGATGAAATGAATAATTAAATATTGTGTATAGCTCGGTCGGTCATTTCAAGTGAAAACACACACACAAAACAAACTTCCTTCAAAGAGAATATACACGTTCTGAATAATACATTAATAATCCAATATTTTCTTGTGGCTCCATGTGGCCGGTTCTAATATCATCCCAGGGCCAAGATCATTCATTTGCAGGCTCCCGGGCCGTGATGTATTTTTGTGCAAGTCTGCAAATGAGCTGTTAGCTATACGGCCTATGAACATGGCATCGGTTACCTGTAACAATGCTTTCTGTTCTGTCCTAATCAAATAAACACATAATAATTATAAACTTTAGAACGTTGGTGTCAAAGTTATTATTTAGCTTACTATTTGAATTGTCCATATTTAGTCCATCCCTCCAAAACCTGTCAGAGGCTGTGGTCGCTGCTGAAGCTGCAGAGCCTCAGATGTTGACGCTGATCTTGGTCTGGACGTTACTTTTGCCGGAGGACGTAGTGGTGCATGTTTTGAGCCGGGATAAACATGGATAATCCGAAAGAAACCCGCCCGACCTTCTTGCTGTGAGAGCACTACCCACTCAGCCACGGAACCGCTTCCTCCGAGAGCAACTACGCAATACCACCGTCTAGTTCAAGGATGGGCAAATATTTTCTTCAGGGGGCCACATTGGGGTATCGCCCTGTCGTGGAAGGGCCGGACCCAATTTCATTTGTTAATCTTTAATTTAATTTTGCGAAAATCTGCTGAATGTTATGTAAATGTAAAACAAATACATATGGGCGGCACGGTGGCTGAGTGGATAGCACTCTCGCCTCTCAGCAAGAAGGTCCTGGGTTCGAATCCCAGTCGGACCACGGCCTTTCTGAGTGGAGTTTGCATGTTCTCCCCGTGTCTGCGTAGGTTTCCTCCGGGTACTCCGGTTTCCCCTACCACTAAAAATATGTCCAATAGTTCAGGCATGCGCCTCCTGTACTGGCGACCCCGCTCCCATCTCTGTGTGGAGTGAGAGACAAATGCCCAAAAATTAACAATTGTAAACCGCTTTGAGACTCAGATCTGCAGTGAAAAGGCGGTATATAAATAAAAACTTACTTACTTACTTACTTACTTACTATGTGTTATGTGTAAAAAATTGTCACCTGTGGTTAGATTCCAAATTGCATTTTGTTGCGTTGTTCTGACTTTGAACTGACAAAGGTTTGGATAAACTGGGAAGGGTTCAAGGGCCGCAAAGAAATGTGAATCGGGCCGAATGTGGCCCTCAGACCGCACGTTGCCCAGGTCTGGTCTAGTTCTATATCGTCACTCTCCAAATGTATCCCAGCGACCGGCACATAATACTCTTCCATTACGACTCTCGCCTCAGCCTTGTCTTATGAGCTTGTGAATGAAAAGTAATTCCGTCGTTTTAGTGGTCTGACAGCGGAGTCTACTGAATGTCTCTGCCTCCCATTGAGCCCAATCTAAATTTAGAGTTATTGCGTTTTCTTTTTGCTCAGTTCAGTCTGGGATAACAATATGTTTGGCCGATACGAGCCCGTCATTTCTACAGACGGAAGTGGCAGAACGCTTTATCATCGGGACACTGGGACTAACTGATGCTGGCGTTTGTTATTTGTGGACAGGTTCACCATCTGCCACAAGACGGAGGTGATCAAGAACACTCTGAACCCAGTGTGGCAGCCCTTCACCATCCCGGTCCGAGCGCTCTGCAATGGAGACTATGACAGGTTTGCATTCTCCATTAATATATACTGTATGTAGAGAGAGATATTAAGAGAGGTTGAAAAAATATACAGTATGTCATACAGTAGCTGACTATGATTCTAAAGCAGGGCTATAAAAAGTGCAGCTCCAGTCCTAACCAGGAAGTACCATCACATTAGTCCTGACTAGAACCAGGAAGTAACATCACATTAGTCCTGACAAGAACCAGGAAGTACCATCACATTAGTCCTGACAAGAACCAGGAAGTACCATCACATTAGTCCTGACTAGAACCAGGAAGTAACATCACATTAGTCCTGACTAGAACCAGGAAGTACCATCACATTAGTCCTGACTAGAACCAGGAAGTACGACCACATTAGCCCTGACTAGAACCAGGAAGTACCATCACATTAGTCCTGACTAGAACCAGGAAGCACGACCACATTAGTCCTGACTAGAACCAGGAAGTACCATCACATTAGTCCTGACTAGAACCAGGAAGCACGACCACATTAGTCCTGACTAGAACCAGGAAGTACCATCACATTAGTCCTGACAAGAACCAGGAAGTACCATCGCACTGCTTCTGCCTCTCCATGGCCTCAAAGTACATAAGTGACATGTTAGTGACATAAGAACCAACTCTGGGGAGCCTCCTGCTGGGACTCTGAGGAGCACAGGGACTGGCCTCCTGCTGGGACTCTGAGGAGCACAGGGACTGGCCTCCTGCTGGGACTCTGAGGAGCACAGGGACTGGCCTCCTGCTGGGACTCTGAGGAGCACAGGGACTGGCCTCCTGCTGGGACTCTGAGGAGCACAGGGACTGGCCTCCTGCTGGGACTCTGAGGAGCACAGGGACGGGCCTCTTGCTGGGACTCTGAGGAGCACAGGGACTGGCCTCCTGCTGGGACTCTGAGGAGCACAGGGACTGGCCTCCTGCTGGGACTCTGAGGAGCACAGGGACTGGTCTCCTGCTGGGACTCTGAGGAGCACAGGGACTGGCCTCCTGCTGGGACTCTGAGGAGCACAGGGACTGGCCTCCTGCTGGGACTCTGAGGAGCACAGGGACTGGCCTCCTGCTGGTCCCAGAGTCAGGACTAAACATGAGGAGTCTACCTTTCAGATTCATGCTGCTAGAATCTGGAACAATCTTCCCGAAAATGTGAGACAGGCTTCTTCTCTGACATTGTTTAAATCCAGGTTAATAACAGTTCTGTTTAGCTGCTTACAACTGAGGGATTTAATGTTTTTATCTTTCTTTTAACATACTGTAATTATATTTATTTTAATGCCTTGTGTGACTATTTCTATCTTGTTTTGCTCGGCACTTTTAATTGTGTGATACAAATAAACTTGCCTTGCCTGAAAGACGTTTTACAACTGGAGGACACCAAAGTACAAATAAGTCTGGCCAAGTTATTTTATAAACATAAATCCTTTTACATGGATAGCACAACACATTTGACATCAAGAATTCAGAAATTATTTTTTAGGCATATGTGCTTTTTAAAAATTGTGAGAAAATGTGATTTGAAGTGATTTGGAGGTAAAACTGAAATGATCAAATCTATTTAAATCCAGATTAGATTTGGGTAATTTGACCCAGTGCTTCAGTGAGCCTTGATTTCAGCCGGAGTGCACAAAAACAAACTTTCCGACCTCCAAACTCTGAAATGCACAAAGGCATGAAATAAAAACCTCAGTTTCACATCCACAGAGCCAGACACACCGACACGGTAATTATTGTGGAGGTGTTAATAATGAGCTCAAGCAGAGTTTCCCTTCTCTCTGATCTCTTCCTTGACAGAAATTGCAGTGGACTAAAATAAATTAAATTCTTCCCTTGCTATTTTTGAGCTTCAGAGTTTTGGTTTAAGCATGTTATTTTTAGTTAGAGAGATGTTCCCCCTCCTCTAAGATGTCTGGAACACAAGAAGAATGACAAAAATAAAGAGAAAACTGAAGAAGACAAAACAAAATAAGGACAAAACAGACAGAGGAAACTTCTGAGTGGGCTTTGCATGTTCTCCTTGTGTAAGTAAGTTAGTAAGTTTTTATTTATATACCTGAGTCTCAAAGCGGTTTACAATTGTTAATTTTGGGCATTTGTCTCTCACTCCACACAGAGATGAGAGCGGGGCCAGTACAGGAAGCGCATGCCAGAACTATTGGACATATTTTTAGTGGTAGGGGAAACCGGAGTACCCGGAGGAAACCTACGCAGACACGGGGAGAACATGCAAACTCCACTCAGAAAGGCCCTGGTCCGACCGGGATTCGAACCCAGGACCTTCTTGCTGAGAGGCGAGAGTGCTATCCACTCAGCCACCGTGCCGCCAGGTGTGTCTGCGTAGGTTTGCTCCAGGTGCTACGGTTTCCCCCACCACTAAAAAACATGTGCCTCCTGTACTGGCCCCGCTCCCATCTCTGTGTGGAGGGACAGACTAATGCCCATGATTGTAAAGCGTTTTGTGACTCTGGTCTGTGAAAGGCCCTATATACATAAAGATTACTTACTTAGTTACTTAGAAGAAGACAAAACAAGGGCAAAGGGCAAAACAGACACAGGAAATCCAAAACTGCAAGTGTTTCTTTTGTTTATATAATCAGAATCAGAATCATTTTTATTGCCACGTAACTAACAGGAAGTCACAGAGTTGGAAATGGCTTTGGCTCAGTGCGACAGTCAAAGAAGAGAGGCAGAGAATAGAGTAAGGCATAATGAAAAGAATAACAATTAGCATACACTTCTAAGGTATAAAATTTAAAACAGAATTATTACTATTACAGTCACTATGTACAATATACAAGTGCACAATGTCATGTATGTTCATAATTTTGTATTTAAATGACTCAGGGTTATTTATGCACAATTTTGATATTATTCTTTTGTTTCTTGTATTTGCTTGAAATAAACATCAACAAAAGAAGACAAAACGAAATATGGACAAAATTGACAGTAGAAGACAAAAATAAGACAAAACAGACAGAAAAAGCCCAAGAAGAAAGACAAAAGCAAGACAAAACAGACAGAAGAAACACAAGAAGTGAAAACAAAATACGGACAAAATTGACAGATGACAAAAAAAGACAAAGTCAACAGTATAAAATCTGTTTGATAAAAGTGGGTATTAGAGTAGATTTGAAAGAGCCTCATCTCGACACATACACAGAGCAACACAAAGGGCATAGAAATGTCCAAAGTGGTATATTTTATTTATGGCCAGCGTGTCATTGAAGGCATCTCTAACGAACAGGCCTTCTCTGCTGGAGTCCTCAGAAGCAGAGACCATACACACGACTATGGACATCTGTAACATTCATGAGCATAACCTACATTCAGAAGCGGGAAATCCTCAGCCAATCAGTGCCCAGCGTGAGGCGACATCATCAGTTGCCGGGGCAGTTAGAATAATGCCAGCAGTCGGTCTTCATGTAAAAGGGACCAGCACTGGTGTTATTGAGACCGACCCGGCATCCAACGGCAGAAGAATGCGACGTTGAGACAGTTTAAGATTTGGGTTTTGACATGTTATCATTCCCTGCAGCAATTATGAGAAGATTAATCCTTTCCGATGATATAAGGTAAACGAGAAACGACAGTACATTAGCTCGGTTGGGAGAGCATCGGCCTTTGAGCCTGAAGGTTGTAAGTTCGAGCCCACCACAAAACCTTCTCCACCAACTCCCACTGATGTCTGCTGTTGCTGTGTCCTTGGGCAAGACACTTAACCTCCGGGAACAGCAGGTGCCACGGTGGGGCGGCTGCGGCTGTAAAGTGCCAAACTGCCGATGTGTCGTTAGGCAAGACACGTCACCCACATTAGAATGAGTCTGGTGTGTGTGTGAAGGGTTGGTGGTGGTCAGAGGGGCAGATGGGACATACTGGTTGCCTCGCTTCTGTCAGTGTGCCCCAGGGCAGCGTCTTTGAGTAACCAAAAAAGCGCTGCATAAAAACAATGCGTTAATATGAACAAAACTCCCTGGTCTTATTTGACGACGTGAGAGGACTAATATTCTTGACAATCCACCTGGAAGTCAAAAATACATCCTATATTTATATACTTAATTTATTTTTTATTTTTTAAAGAAATTACACACACACATTGTCCAAGGTATTAGTATGACCCGGGTTTAAACTACCATTGGGAGGGACTTAAGACCAACAGCAGTACATTAACCCATTAAACCTTCACGCATCTGTTCAAAGTCTGTTCCAAATGTCACTTAAATCCATTTAAATCCATTTATTTATTTAAATTATGGACATAGATAGATGGATAGACACTTTATTGATCCTCGTAGGAGAAATTCATCAACATTTCTTGTCCTGTCACACAAAAGAAAAGGAGCAGAAAGAAGAAAATAATCTTAAATTGACTAACACTTTCTTAACCATTTACAGTATAAATTAAAGAATACAAAATCTTGAAACTGTATTTATTAATTTCAGAATCATGTTTTTTATTTTTTTATTTAACCTTTATTTAACCAGGAAAGTCCCATTGAGATCAAGAACCTCTTTTCCAAAGGAGTCCTGAGTCCTATAATATTATTTTGGTATTAATAAATTCCTTTTACTGTGTTTTTTCCAATCATTTATTAACAAGATTTCACTGTTGTGGCTTTGAATTTTTTTTTTTTTTCTCAAACATCACAATCCATCACAACGACTGTTTTGGCTTTTCATTTCTCAAAATATCAAAGCAGCTCGGTGTGTGTCGGCTTTGTCACAATCTTTTCTCTGACACAGACCCACTTAGAATATGACTGTTTGTTAATGAAGCCAGTCTCATCACAGGTCGATCTGGAAAGTTTCTGTGACAAAGCCCTGGAGAAGAACTTGCTCTCGCAGTTATGCATTTAGTAACTTCCTGAAACAGCTGGACACGTTATGAAGCATATCCGCAGGTCTGAAAGCAATCAGCCCTAATAGTATTATTATATCCCCACTGAGCTAATGATTGCGCCAAATGAATTTCACTCAGGAACGCCGAGCTCCAGTTTGTGTTTGTCTGATCATTGTATAAGATCAGAAAAAAACTTCTAATTACGCAAGTTGTGCAATAATGTATGCATGTGAGTGAATGTGTGACTGATTACTGCTTCATTTAGTAAGTCAATGTTTTAGTGATTGCACCGTTTACTTTTGAATGGACTGAAAACAGAAGCAAGTTGTTTTGTGTTTTACAAAGGTTATGGTTCTGCCTGAGATTTCGCTGCAGTGCAGTGTTCATGGTTTTACACTGGTCCAGACCAGAGCAGAGAGGATTCATGGTCCGAACCAAGTGGATCAGGTGAAAATCCACTGGAGGAATGCTAACTTTTTGAAGAATACTAACAAAGCATTAAGCATTTTACTTTGGACCAGAGCAGAGAAAATGGTCTGAACCAAGCTCCACCTCTGCTGCTGCTGCATTTAAATACTATTGTTAGCTTTTTTCAGAATTATCTATGCATTTCTTGTGTTTGTTTGGATGGATGTGTTTCTGCTGCTACTGAACACCTGCATTTCTCCTTCAGGGATCAATATCAATCAATCAATCAGTAAAATCAATAAAAAGTATCTATATATCCATCTATCAATATCTATCCATCTTATTTGACCTCAAATGTCATTGTCCTGAGGTTGCTGCATTGCTCTAGGTATAGATCATGGGTGTCAAAGTCTAGGCCCAGGGGCCAGATCTGGCCCATGAATGACTTATCTTGGCCCTGGGATCATATTTGATCAGTAATAGAACCAGCCGCACAGACACATTCAAACAAACATAGACAATGGACCAGCCACAAATTGGGATGAGCTCAGGGAAAAAACAAACACAGTCAGACAGGGACATGACAGGAAGTGAAACTAAAACCCAATAACAAAGATTGTAAAGTGTACCTGAGTGTGTGTGTGTTTGTTTTGTTGTTTGAAACTGAAACAAAAACCAAAGCATTGTTTTCTTGCAGGACGGTGAAGGTGGACGTGTTCGACTGGGACAGAGATGGAAGGTAGGACGCTGAATGGGCTGAAGAGGATGATTCATTCACTTTCTGACTTTTATCAAACGTGGGTGACAGTTAGAGTAGAACATGAGGAAGAGGAGGCAGAGGAGGCAGAGGAGGCAGAGATGTGCAGACATGACCAGAGCAGAAAACAATTGTCTGTTCATTTCCTCTGTTTTGCTGTGTTTGTGTCGACAGTCATGATTTCATCGGGGAGTTCACCACCAGCTACAGGGAGCTGTCCCGGGGCCAGAACCAGTTCAACGTCTACGAGGTTAGACAACCACATTATTCTGAAGAACATCTTCCACTCAGGGAAAACGACTTGAATTATCATATTATTATGGTTTCAGTGGATTTAACTTGACAAATTATGTTTTCTGCCAATAAAACCAAGTCATTTTTACATAATACATATTAACTAATTATAAACAAACAAGTTAATCTCATATAACTCATATAACATATAACTCTCATAAAACAAACCAGTTCATCAGTAGTTATCCTCACAGCTGTCAGACTGTACAATGAGTCACTTTAAGTCACTTGCATTAGGACTGAAAAACCTGCACTAATATTAACACTGTTTCTCGATTACCACTTTTGAATTGCCACTTTTTATTGTACATAATATATTCTGCGTTTAACATGTTTGCAAATTCTATCTATGCCAGATGTGACATGTACATTTGTCCGGTGTGAGATCAATAAAGTTTATCTAATCTTATCTTATATTGAGTTGCCACATGAGCGTGTGGGTCCAGGGCTCTATGCATCTACACCTGGCTTTTCAGAAACATGTGTCTACATTGGATTACATTGTTATCTTGTTTTTATGAATAATTTTTCTAGTTTCAGGACCTTTTTAAGTTTTAGTTTAGTTAAGTTCGTTATTTGTGTCAGTAAGTATCTTCACTCAGTCTACAAAGCATGAACAAATGACAAATTGAGACAAACCCCATGAAACCTCAATGCAATTAAAGCACCATAAAAGTTTCAACAAGCAGCAAAATGAAAAAAAAAAAATATTTCAGATTCAGACTGATTTTTATTTTGCCATTTGCAGTAAAACCACATTGGAAAAACTGTGCAAGACCACCCCAATGTGCACCAGACAGAGAAGACGGCACACACCAGAGCTCTTGCCACGGCGCCATCTTTACGGCGCCATGGCAACTATTTCAATAAACATTTCCATTTCCTCAGTAGGTTGCGCTCAAATCCAAACATTCAATAAAAATTAAAAAAAATGTATAAAGCAGATTAAATAAATTATTAAGCTCTAGTTAAGCTCCAATTATTAAGAGGGTTAGGGTTAGCTAATAATCTCTTTTTGTGTTTTAACCGTTTGATTTTCTGATGCGGCAAATTCAACAGTTTTGTGAAAGTCCTCTGAGAAAACTGCTGTTCTGCTTTTGGGCGATACAAAAATAAATATATATATATCAAAATTGAACTGAATTGCAGCATAAGTGTATTTCAGAGAATTCAAACTCTCCATGATCTGTCTCTGTAGTGTATTTTCAAGGCATTTTATAAAAGTAAATGCACAATAAAGGGGTAAAAAATTCTCTCTAGTTCAAGTCAACTCGTGTAAAGCAGCTTAGAAATATATTTGTTTCATAAAACCATTAACAATAAATCTAACAGCTTCAAAAACTTCTCAGAATTGCGACTCGACGTCTCTGTTTTGCGAAGGTGAAATGTTCCAAGTAGAAAATGAAGGGGTTTGGTGTCACTGCTTTTATTGTTTGGACCATAATTATTCCTCCCAAAAGAGTCCACCCGGCGTGAGGAGACGATGAGAGGCACTGGTGACGTTTAAAGTGTTCCTTTCACACAATGTGGACCAGGGTTTCAGAGGCTCATTCTTCATAACGTCGTTTTGATGTTTTTGTAACTGTGGAAAAATCACAACTAATAACACTGCAGCCCGTTATTAACTCAGAATGTGGGTCTGAAAGAGTTTGTCGTGTGGAGTGAGATGAAGGAGGACTCAAATGCAGGAACGCAAAAAATAATGATTTAATAATAACTCAAAATCCAAACAAGAAGTCAGGAACCAGGAAAACAGACAATACAATGGACCAGCAACAAGAGGAGAGAAGCACAGGTACATACAGAGAGACACAGGTACATACAGAGAGACACAGGTACATAGGCACGGTGGCAGACTGGATAGCACTCTCGCCTCTCAGCAAGAAGGTCCTGGGTTCGAATCCCGGTTGGACCAGGGCCTTTCTGAGTGGAGTTTGCATGTTCTCCCAGTGTTTGCGTAGGTTTCCTCCGGGTACTCCAGTTTCCCCTACCACTAAAAATATGTACAATAGGTACAATAGATGGGACCCCGCTCCCATCTCTGTGTGGAGTGAGAGTTTAATGCTCAAAAATAAAAATTGTAAACCGCTTTGAGACTCTGATCTATATAAATAAAGATTACTTACCTACACACAGGTACAGAGAGACACAGGTACAGTATATACACAGAGAGACACAGGTGCATATAGACACAGAGAGACACAGGTACAGTATATACACAGAGAGACACAGGTACATATAGACACAGAGAGACACAGGTACAGAGAGACATAGACACAGGTGAAACACATCAAGGCGGGGAAGACCATCAAGACAGGGGGAACAGGACAGGAAGTAAAACTAAAAACTAAAGAGAACAGATGTCAAATAAAACAAAAAAAACAAAATCCACACCATGACACAGTTAAAACATATTTTAGTTTTTTCGAGCCATAAGAATGGGTCGCACTTTTCTCCCACTCGGTTTTAGAGTTTTTCTTGCCGATGCAGGAGTCGTTTGGACAGTTAGTGTCTGTGGTGATGGTCCAGGACGCTCTACATTCTACAACATTCATGAACATTGGTCTCTCCCTATAGTCCAATACCATGTGGTCTCTCCCTATAGTCCAATACCATGTGGTCTCTCCCTATAGTCCAATACCATCTGGTCTCTCCCTATAGTCCAATACCATCTGGTCTCTCCCTATAGTCTAATACCATCTGGTCTCTCCCTATAGTCCAATACCATCTGGTCTCTCCCTATAGTCCAATACCATCTGGTCTCTCCCTATAGTCCAATACCATCTGGTCTCTCCCTATAGTCCAATACCATCTGGTCTCTCCCTATAGTCCAATACCATCTGGTCTCTCCCTATAGTCCAATACCATCTGGTCTCTCCCTATAGTCCAATACCATCTGGTCTCTCCCTATAGTCCAATACCATCTGGTCTCTCCCTATAGTCCAATACCATCTGGTCTCTCCCTATAGTCCAATACCATGTGGTCTCTCCCTATAGTCCAATACCATCTGGTCTCTCCCTATAGTCCAATACCATCTGGTCTCTCCCTATAGTCTAATACCATCTGGTCTCTCCCTATAGTCCAATACCATCTGGTCTCTCCCTATAGTCCAATACCATCTGGTCTCTCCCTATAGTCCAATACCATGTGGTCTCTCCCTATAGTCCAATACCATCTGGTCTCTCCCTATAGTCCAATACCATCTGGTCTCTCCCTATAGTCCAATACCATGTGGTCTCTCCCTATAGTCCAATACCATCTGGTCTCTCCCTATAGTCCAATACCATCTGGTCTCTCCCTATAGTCCAATACCATCTGGTCTCTCCCTATAGTCCAATACCATCTGGTCTCTCCCTATAGTCCAATACCATCTGGTCTCTCCCTATAGTCCAATACCATCTGGTCTCTCCCTATAGTCCAATACCATCTGGTCTCTCCCTATAGTCCAATACCATCTGGTCTCTCCCTATAGTCCAATACCATCTGGTCTCTCCCTATAGTCCAATACCATCTGGTCTCTCCCTATAGTCCAATACCATCTGGTCTCTCCCTATAGTCCAATACCATCTGGTCTCTCCCTATAGTCCAATACCATCTGGTCTCTCCCTATAGTCCAATACCATCTGGTCTCTCCCTATAGTCCAATACCATCTGGTCTCTCCCTATAGTCCAATACCATCTGGTCTCTCCCTATAGTCCAATACCATCTGGTCTCTCCCTATAGTCCAATACCATCTGGTCTCTCCCTATAGTCCAATACCATCTGGTCTCTCCCTATAGTCCAATACCATCTGGTCTCTCCCTATAGTCCAATACCATCTGGTCTCTCCCTATAGTCCAATACCATCTGGTCTCTCCCTATAGTCCAATACCATCTGGTCTCTCCCTATAGTCCAATACCATCTGGTCTCTCCCTATAGTCCAATACCATCTGGTCTCTCCCTATAGTCCAATACCATCTGGTCTCTCCCTATAGTCCAATACCATCTGGTCTCTCCCTATAGTCCAATACCATCTGGTCTCTCCCTATAGTCCAATACCATCTGGTCTCTCCCTATAGTCCAATACCATCTGGTCTCTCCCTATAGTCCAATACCATCTGGTCTCTCCCTATAGTCCAATACCATCTGGTCTCTCCCTATAGTCCAATACCATCTGGTCTCTCCCTATAGTCCAATACCATCTGGTCTCTCCCTATAGTCCAATACCATCTGGTCTCTCCCTATAGTCCAATACCATGTGGTCTCTCCCTATAGTCCAATACCATCTGGTCTCTCCCTATAGTCCAATACCATCTGGTCTCTCCCTATAGTCCAATACCATCTGGTCTCTCCCTATAGTCCAATACCATCTGGTCTCTCCCTATAGTCCAATACCATCTGGTCTCTCCCTATAGTCCAATACCATCTGGTCTCTCCCTATAGTCCAATACCATCTGGTCTCTCCCTATAGTCCAATACCATCTGGTCTCTCCCTATAGTCCAATACCATCTGGTCTCTCCCTATAGTCCAATACCATCTGGTCTCTCCCTATAGTCCAATACCATCTGGTCTCTCCCTATAGTCCAATACCATCTGGTCTCTCCCTATAGTCCAATACCATCTGGTCTCTCCCTATAGTCCAATACCATCTGGTCTCTCCCTATAGTCCAATACCATCTGGTCTCTCCCTATAGTCCAATACCATCTGGTCTCTCCCTATAGTCCAATACCATCTGGTCTCTCCCTATAGTCCAATACCATCTGGTCTCTCCCTATAGTCCAATACCATGTGGTCTCTCCCTATAGTCCAATACCATGTGGTCTCTTCCTATAGTCCAATACCATCTGGTCTCTCCCTATAGTCCAATACCATCTGGTCTCTCCCTATAGTCTAATACCATCTGGTCTCTCCCTATAGTCCAATACCATCTGGTCTCTCCCTATAGTCCAATACCATCTGGTCTCTCCCTATA